TTCGCATAGTGTTCGAACGCTTCACACAATATGGCGTGAAGCTAAATGCCTCGAAATGTGTTCTAGGAAAATCAACCATTCCGTTCTTGGGCCACTTGATATCCCCGCGCGGGCATCACGCCATTGCCAAGCAAGGTAGCAGCAATTAAAGAATACCCGAAACCTACTACGATCAAGGAACTTCGTCGTTTCTTGGCAATGATCAACTTTTATAGAAGGTTTATTCCTCAGGCAGCCCACACGCAGGCAATCTTACACGCCTATCTAAAGGGGACAAAAAAGGGGGATAAGCGAAACATCGAGCTGACACAAGCTGAAACAGAGGCTTTTGAGAGGTGCAAATCGGATCTAGTGGAAGCCGCCACACTGGCTCACCCATCACCAAAGGCACCGCTGGCAATCATTGTCGATGCATCGGACACGGCAATGGGAGCTGCGCTACAACAGCAAGTGTCAAGCAATTGGCAGCCATTAGCATTTTTTAGTCGGAAGTTCTCGCCGGCACACAAAAAATACAGTGCCTATGACCGGGAGCTCTTGGCTGCATACACGGCCATCAAGTACTTTAGGCATATGGTTGAAGGTCGACCGTTTATATTATTCACGGATCATAAACCACTGACTTATGCCTTCCAGCAAAAAGCTGACAAGTGTTCTCCGAGACAACTCAGACATTTGGACTTCATCAGTCAATTTACTACAGACATTCGTTTCGTAAAAGGAATGGACAATGTAGTAGCAGATGCTCTCTCACGCATCGCCATCTCCACCATCGAGACACCATCGTTTATAAACTTCCAAGAGATGGCGGTAGCGCAACAAGGAGACACGGAACTACAAAAATTCCTAAGTAATACACCTAACTCNTCTTTGATTAAACGAAAATTTTTGAAAATCTTCGAAATAAATAAATAATAGTAATTATTATTTAAAAATAAAACATACTGAAAAATAATATTATTGATGCTGATCAATCCGTTGATACCGATAAATTTTATTGACACTGATCAATCAATAGTAGAAAAGTCTCTTTAATATAGAAAATTAGTCTTCGTTGATTAATGATTGATCAATTTATAAGAAGAAACGAATCTAAGCACTGAATGCCTTTAAAAATAAAGCACATATCGATTCTCTATCTAACTATATTTCATTATTCATATTATTCATATATAATAGTAAATATGAATAAAAATATAGTCTATTTCTCTTTATTTTAATATATTTTTTACTCGCCTAGGAGTAGAAAAAAGAGGAAATGAAGAAGAAGAAAAAAAAAGACTGTACCTGTGACTAGACAAGTTATTATTTCTAGTATCGATCGTATAACTTTGTGAATCCAGTTAAAATTATCAGAGGAATTCAGTCATTCAGTGTCCGGGAAACGTTGAACATTCTTCTATATTTCTATTCTTATCAATATTATAGATAAGACAATTTATCTCTTTTCAATCTTCGTCAATTTACTTAACATTTGATAAATTTAGTAGAAAAGCGCGCACATTCATATAAAATTTTCTCATTCAATACTGATGGTTGCTCTATCGTTTTTCTTTATTGTTATATACATTTATAATTTATTTTTGATATTGTTAAGAAGAAAACTTTTAACGTAAATTTATGTCAGAGATTCACCCAACAACGATATAATAATTCGTATCGGAAATTATAAACTCCATCAGATGAAATTCTAAATATTATAATTGATATATTGTAATTTTTAATGTATAATTTTTTAAAATAAACTAAATTTGTTTTAACTAATCAGAATACAAGATTTTAATGGCTATTTTTGGATTTCAAGTTATAAAATATACAATTCTAGTAGTGATTAGAAGAAGAAAGCTTTTCTGCATCTTGTTATAAAGTATTTTCTATCGATACTCATTTTTCCCGTACATATATATCAATTATAATTTTCTATAAATCAATACAAACATGTTTATACTGTTTAAAATAATATACAAGTTTCATAACTTTGTATAAAAAATATCAAATTAAGAAACTTACCTTTTGACAGTAGTCGGAAGAAACTGATTCTCCTTTACTCTTGATGCACGTTGCTGTTCTGGAACTGACTCCTTTACCACATATGGTTCCTTCGGGAAGTATACACGAGCCCCAACCCCCGATAAACCATTTATAATGGAAACAATTGTATCCTATGTTACAAGGTTCTTCCTGTACCAAAGACGGACATTTTCTACCGGAAGAAGGAAGAGCAATTCTCAGCACTGTTCTGTTTCTATATCTGGAGTAATTGTTGTTACATGGCTATAAAGTTGATAAATATATTATTTTATATGTCTTATAAACATTAATTTCGTATACGAGTGTTTACAATTATTAATTTATTTTACCTGTCTGCACTCGGACCATGGAGACCAAGCAGAAACGATGCAATCGTCGGGACAGGGAAGATAACATTTAACCGTCTCCAGAGGACGAGTGGAAGTATGACAAAATATATCATCTACTTTAATGGATACTTCAGCACCTTTGTTCTTCCTACAACTTCATGCAATAAAATCTGAATGAAAAACTTCGTCTATGAATCGTTGCTTATCTTTAATTAATAATTTAAAAAATATTTATAAAATTACCAAATAAATGTTTGTGTCACAATTACTAAATGATATTGCTATGTAATAAATATGGATTTTTATTGTTGCAAAATTGAAAGTATTAAATTTCTTATTATGTTGTAATTGCAAGACAGCAGTGCAATAACACCTAAGCGAGGAAATCACGTCAAAAAAGCTTCCTTGAAAAATTATTTCAAATGAATTGAAATTAGTCCTTTCATTGAAACCAGGAGAAAAAAATAGAATGTGTAGTATTGTGGTAAAGGTTAAATATTCTGCATAGTCTTTTTATTGAATTGCAATCGTTGCGTATAACAATTGTGAGAGTACAGCACTCTTACACTGCAAGAGAATTTACTGCAGGTGGTAGTAAGATATTGTTTTTCGTAAAATTTTTCTAAAAAGATTGTCATAAACATGAAAATCACTGTTGGAATCACTTCAGATCATATCAATTGAGGAATACTACAATGCCTGCAGTTCAACTATTATTTATTTTTGAGAAATTCAATTAAAAAATGCTATGTATCTGCTAGATACATATGTGACAAGGTAAGAGTTAAAGTAACTTTACTTAATTTGTTTTAATAACATTTTAAATTCATTGTCATTAATTATACTGTAACAAAGTAATTAGTTAAATGTTTCTACTAACTTAAACCAATTATTTATGTTAGGGCTTATCACACCAGTGAATATGAACACAAAATTTCTTAAATATATAATAAATTTAAGAAATTTTGTGTTCATATTCACTGATGTGATAAGCCCTAACATAAATAACTGGTTTAAGTTAGTAGAAACGTTTAATGTAATCAGGGCAAAAAGCAATAGAAAAATAATTAGTAATAGTGACTTTTATAGACTGACTACTGATTTCTGTAAATTAAACAGTAAATATTTAAAATTTAAAATAATTCATAATAAAATAATAAAATTTAGAAATTAAAAGAATAAAAATAAAAGCAGTACAGTGCAATCTTGGTAATCCAGCAATTTGCTAGTTCAATATGCCCAGAAATCTGGCAGTAGTCAACTTTTGAGTATTCTTGGCACTCTTATCAAGTTGTAGATAAGCTTTCATTAGTTCAAATTGTAGTTTCCATTAAATTTGAACACTTTCCACTAAATGTGACATAATATTAAGTCTGAACTTGAACAATTGAACTTGGACACAATATTAAAGATTGTTATGCTTGTCATCTTGGGTTGCTCAAAAAAAGTCTTATAAAACAATACTATAAATATAAAAATCAGTCTCCTGAAATTCACTCCAAAAAATACTGTACCTTATTTTTCATGATCATTTCAATTTTCCACTAAATTTAATGGGAATTCACTGATTTGGCAACACTAATTATTACACTGTAGCATGCTTGGATGTTTTGATGGCAGAAGAGAATTGAAAATTAAAAGGATTGACAATTTGAGAACTTTAAAATACACTAACATATGATTGCTCTCCTCTCATATTTTCTTTGTATTCTGTATTCATTGATTAATACAATTAATATAGAATAGTAAATAAACAAAGGTTTTCTTTCTGAATGATTAAACATTTGAATTCACATTATTTCTAATAATCTGACAGTCTCTTTAATCAGATACTGTTCTTGTTCCATATAACAAGATTATATTGTATTTATATCCCTCCTTAATTCACATAGTATTTGATATGTATTGTTTTATTTCTTTATCTCTTAAATTATTTTGTTAGTTGTATTGCAGAGACAATTTATTTTTAATCAATAAAAAAGGTTTTTCATTTTAGCAACAATACAAGATTAAAAAGTTTAATTTTCAGTATTTATTGATTTAGATAAAATTATTAAATAATTTAAAAATGCTTTGTTAATGTTTTGTTTAATCAAATTACATAACAGTCTTACTTGAATCATTGTTTTATGACCATAGTGATAAGTACAATCAACTAGATGATCATAACCATCAATATTACATCCATGTCCATTGGATTCAATTACAGAATTATTGAAATAATTGATTAATACAGATTATTAAATAGCAAGCATGATATTTATTGTTCTTACAATAAATGTTATTTTAATCTGTAATATCTTACATCATTTTTTTTAATGTTTACTATGTTTCAGTTTTGTTTGAATTTAAGAGTTAGATTGCTATTAGTTGGACTAAGTACAGTGATTTCATAAAAAAAATAAAATATCTGATTATTCAGAAATCAATAATTGTTGATTTTGTTTTGTTGAAAATTTTTATTGGAATTGTAATTTAATTTTAAATTTAATACAAAATTGTAATGTTTGATCATTTAAGTAATTTAAATATATTTAAATTTAAAAATATTTTACTTAAGTCATATTAGTAGCATTTGAATTCCAATTTTACAAGATGTTTTAAAATGATAAAATTAATTTTGTTTTTTATCAGTGTTAATAAAATACAATAATTTATATTTGTTTAGGAGATGCTGCATTATTAGATGCTGCTAAAAAGGGAAATTTAGCAAGAGTTATGAAATTAGTAGGACCAGAAAATATCAACTGTAGAGATTCTCAGGGAAGAAACTCAACTCCTCTGCATTTAGCAGGTAACATCAATTAATTAAGAGTTGTTTATATATAGATTCACTAGGAAGCTTAATCCTTCTGCTTGCTTTCCCATGGACAAGTAAGCAAACAAAACTTTCGAACAAGTTCACAAATCATCACAAATTAATTAAAAGAATAGAAACAGTGGCATCACAATCTATATGTGCAAGATATGTTTATGTAATAACATTATTATTTTTCATCTGAAAATAGATTAAAATATTTATTTATATTGATTATAACTATATTTTAGTAAATATTAGCATTTTGTGCATTATTTATAATTTTTATTTATTTGCTACTGTTCCCATAAAATATTAGAGGTGGATATTATTTAGAGTATAGAATAGTCTATTAACATTCATTTTTTCAGTTTAGAACTCTTCGTGTTTTCAATGAAATTTTGTTGTAACAAATACTCATATATAACAAGAAATACAGACTGGGACTATAACTGTTGTTATGCAAGTTTTCTTTTTTAAACTCTATCTATCCTATAGGCACTAAGAGTTTTTTTTCTTCATTGTGGACCTAGCTAAACCCAAGGTGACAGTGACCGTGTAGTGAGGAATAGGGCTAGACATATCTGGGATGAATCACCCATGAAAAATTTCTGGGTTTTTTGACTGCTCAGATATGATTCCTAGTCTTCTCAGAGCTGTAGACTGATGCCTTAGTTGCCTTGACCATCAAGTCATAATTATGCATATTTATTTTATTAGAATGAATCAAAATTTTGATTTAATGTAGAATCATACCATTTGATTAAAGTTTCAATATAAGAATTATCATAATTTTTCATTGAAATTCATTACTAAATAAATAAGATTTATATCTATTTTCTTTAAAACCTCTACTGTTTAAATCTTCATAGACAATGTGTTTAATACAGCTTATTTAATATATTCTGATTTGATATAAAAATCACCTCATAATGTCAAGCAACTGTTCATTCATTTGTCTATAGAAATAACTAGTTATGTGAATTTAATAAAATTTAGTATAAATATTATTAAAAAAACTTATTATTAAATTTCTAAGACTAAATTACTAGACATCTTGCTTTTCATACATTTTTGTTTTAAAAATTTTAAATAATAATACTTACTCCTTAATTTATATTATGTAATTAATGAATTTTCTATTTGAAAATAATTTCAGGTAAAATTTTCTTCTCTCATTCTTTGACACACTACCACTTGGAAATTTTCGATTTTTAATAAACTATTATTTTTGTAAATATGCTCCAGTGACTTGATTCCCATAACATAATAAGATTTCTTTTAATATGACATTCATTTCATATTGCTTCAAGTGTATTTTAACAAGGGTTTATTATATAAATAATATATATATAATATGATGCAAATGAATATATTTAATTATTCAACTACAAAGTAAATACATTACAGTTAGTATCAAAGCCAACTAATGCTGTATGTTATCGGGCTAATTTTTGATTAAATAATTTAAATAATTTAGAACTACTGGAAGAAATGAATCAGCCTGGAGCAGAACTCAAACCTGCAACTCCCACTTACTGTGCAGACACATTGTCAATTACACTATCCGGACCTCTGGTTTGATCTCATCTTCCAGTATATATAACATTTTGCTATAATCATCGTTGGTTACTATGGTGCCAGAGGGTACATCAAGTGCCCTCATCCTGTAAACTCTCATATAAGGCACTTAACCAACCATTATATACCCCAGCAAGGCATATATATATAAGCCAGCAGTTGTTTGGCTTTGATATTACAAGGTTTAGGTTTAGTAGAGTTGTTTGTTTACAGTTAGTACAGGCATACCTCGACTTACGTCGTTTCGAGTTACGTCGTTCCCGATTAAACGTTGTTTGTCAAAAAAGTATATGGAAAAATAAAAATGAAGTTTAAGTCATTTTATTCGACTTTACGTCTGTCCGCCACAAGTATTGAAGTCGTAATATCACTATAAAAACAATTTAAAGCACATAAAATCATATTAAAAAATATTTACGAGTATTTCTGTATTTACAGTACACGCATTTGTAAATTTAAATTACTTTTTTCTGTACTATATTAAAAACTAAAATTTATTTGTTTGTAGGCTTAAAATAGATTTTTATTAACCATATATTATTAAAAACGCATTAATAAATAAAATACAGAACCAGGAATGGTAATTTATGGTTTAGCCTAGTGACAAGTAGATTCGGAGACAAGTAAATTCGACTTACGTCGTTTTTCGACTTACGTCGTTCTCCTGGAACCAATTACCGACGTAAGGCGAGGTATACCTGTAATTGAAAATTGAAATGATGTACAACATATTAATAAATTTTTTACTCATACCATGAGAGAGACTATAGTAATTTGTTTATTACTGCTACTCTGTTACTGAAAAATCAGTATAAATTATCAGCTTCCAAAAGTAGTATTATCTAGTAATTTATTTTGAGAATTTATAATTACTATTATTATAATATAATTATTACAATAGAATTTATAAAAAAGACATCACAAGGAACAAAAAGAGAAATTTTGACAATTAAATGAAATAAATCTGTACAGAAATTTCCATTTGAGCTTTTATTAAAGGTTGCATTCATTTTTGCATCAAAGATTGCATATTTTATACATGCATTAATATTAGCCATTGATTCTTTTTAATGTGTATTCTTTTTAATGTGTATAAAAATGTTTCTTGCTTGCTTAAAATAATAGAAAAACTTTTTTCATTGTATCTATTCTCAAAAATTATAAATTTAATAATTATAAGATTTTTGTATTGGAGATATTTTAAAAGTAAAAAAAAATAATCTATTAATAAATATATATATTAATCAATGAATGTGATGATTATACAATAATTGTTAAAGTTTTATTTATAGTATTAAAAATGATTAGTTACAATCATTAACTATGATTATATAGTATAATCATAGTTAACTATGATTATATAGTATAATCATAGTTAATGATAGTTAACTATAACTATGATTCAATCATATTTATCTATGTAAAAATGAACTCATAATATTTCATCATACTATTTATTAACTAATGATTTGAAAATAAAGCAAATAAAAAATATTTCAAAAGCTGGCAAAGGTTTATGCTTGAATTTCCTACACTCAAACAAGATTAAGGGGACTGCTTTCCCATGGACAAGTAAGCAAACAAAACTTTCGAACAAGTTCACAAATCATCACAAATTAATTAAAAGAATAGAAACAGTGGCATCACAATCTATATGTGCAAGATATGTTTATGTAATAACATTATTATTTTTCATCTGAAAATAGATTAAAATATTTATTTATATTGATTATAACTATATTTTAGTAAATATTAGCATTTTGTGCATTATTTATAATTTTTATTTATTTGCTACTGTTCCCATAAAATATTAGAGGTGGATATTATTTAGAGTATAGAATAGTCTATTAACATTCATTTTTTCAGTTTAGAACTCTTCGTGTTTTCAATGAAATTTTGTTGTAACAAATACTCATATATAACAAGAAATACAGACTGGGACTATAACTGTTGTTATGCAAGTTTTCTTTTTTAAACTCTATCTATCCTATAGGCACTAAGAGTTTTTTTTCTTCATTGTGGACCTAGCTAAACCCAAGGTGACAGTGACCGTGTAGTGAGGAATAGGGCTAGACATATCTGGGATGAATCACCCATGAAAAATTTCTGGGTTTTTTGACTGCTCAGATATGATTCCTAGTCTTCTCAGAGCTGTAGACTGATGCCTTAGTTGCCTTGACCATCAAGTCATAATTATGCATATTTATTTTATTAGAATGAATCAAAATTTTGATTTAATGTAGAATCATACCATTTGATTAAAGTTTCAATATANTGATGAGATTTTATTAAAAAGTAATTTTTATATTATTATTATTACAAAAAGGCAAAAGGCTCTTAATTTTGAGGATAGAGATGAATTTCTAAAAAAGTTGTAAATGCCAATAATTAGTAAAATTTTCATTAAATTTAATCTCACTTGAGTTATGACACATGATCCCCTCTGTTTCTCCACCTCCCTGATTTTTACCTACCAAAATTTAATAGCATCAATGTCCTACATACAGAAATAACCTTGTCAAGTTTTTAAATGTTTGGTTCTATCTAGTTCTGAGATATAATGCAAAGTAGACACTGATACAAATACACACAGAGTTTTGTAAGATTTTTTTTTTTAATTTTTGGGTTTCTTAAGTGTCAAATCATCAAGAAGTATAAAAAAAACCAGGGAATCAAAATTTGATATATTACCATATGCTTCCTATTTTATATTCTATAACAGTTAGGAAAAGAAAATGACAAATAACAATATTTTTTCTTTGCTTTAAAAGTATTGCATACAATAACAATATCAAACAGCTAGTTGGTTATTTATTCTTAATATGTAAAAAATGTATAAGGTTGATCCAAATATTTAAAAATTTTTACAAAATGAAATGCAAATGCTTGTCAAAATAGCTACTGAAGATTGAATTTTATATTCTGTATTTGGAATATGATAGTTTTGGGTAAAAAACATGACACAATAGAACAGTTTGATAAATATATTTAAGATTGCTAGATTTCGTCTTTTAACTAGAAGTATCCTAATTTTTAACTGCAATTTTTTACATTAAATTCTATCTTTTATCATGTTGAAACACAGACATTTAAATATTTTTAGTAATTTTTTGTTCTGATTTATTGCCATATTGTGAGTAATCACATTTCATCACCTAAATAAATAAATAAATAAATAATTAATTAATAATGAAACTAGTTTAGTTTAAATATATACTTATTTAAACTAAATAATAATATTTCTAGTTTAAATAAATAAGTCATAAAGAAAGAGTAATTGAGCATCTTTAGATGTTAGAAGCAATAAATTAAGGAAAATGACTAAAATGAGTCTGGTGATTGAGTATAAATAAAATATGCTAAAAATAAATTATCATTTTTAAAAATAAGATTATTACTTTTATTGGTATGATGAAAATAAACGTTACTAGAGAAAAAACTTTTTTCAATGTGTTATTTCTGTAATGTATTGTTTTTAATATTCAAAATGGTAAAAGTTATTATTTCTATGTTTAGAAATTCGTAAATAAAGTTGGCAATGTTGTTGCTGGACTTTCCTGGCATTCTTATTGGTTTTCATCCTTGATAATTGGTACCTTTACATTTATAAGTCTACAGATTGGTTTGCACGATATTAAAGGAGTGGGTCCAATTTTCCTGAAAATTTCTAGAAACATTCCCCGAATACACAAATATCCCTGCAAAATTTTACATTTTTGACAAAAAGCATAGGAATTATTAAGTTTCAAAGTGGATAAAAATATTGTGCCACCCCATACACTAACATCCATACATACAGAAAAAACTTCTAACTTTTTTTGCATTTTCTGACATTTTAAGATTTTCTAAGTCCAAAAATGTAAAAATCTGGGTAATTATTTGAACAGTTGCCATACTTTCCTTCTTTTATATAACAGCAGGAAAGTAAAAACTATATTTTATTCACAAATTATAATAATAGCATAGTCATCTCTTTAATCTTTAAATTCTATTTAAATAAATGATATAGTCATATTTATAATTTTATATTTATTAAGCAATATGTCATATTATATTAATGTTCAAAAAATATTTTAATAAAGATTGTCACTTATATTATTTATTAATTTAAACACTTTTATTTTGTTTACATTATATGATTTTTAATAATTTTATAAAATATAATCATTATTTTAATATATGAATTAAATTGCATCTTTAAATTGACTAATATTATTATATCTTAAAAATTTTTCTTTGTTATTTTTAGTATAAAAGTAGGATGGCAAAGTAATATAACATATTTAATTTATGGTTAGTTTCTTGTAATCTTAACAACATTGAATTAGTAATATGACAATATGTAGGAAAGCCAATACAATTTGAATAGATTTATCTTGGCAATTTGACAATGAATATATGAATTTTCAATTGCAAAACTTTTGTCATTACTTTAAGCTCAACATGAAATTTTTTCATTTTTTGAATTGAAAAGAAAATGTAAAATGCTGATTTCTGTGATGAAATATATTTCACTATTCAAATTGCCAGGAAAATTTAAACAAATGTTTCTTCTTTGAACAATGCAGAAAAAGATTTCTCTTTAACTCATGCATTAGATTTCATGTATATTTAGTATCATTAATAAAACCAATATTAATAAAAATACAAGTATTTATTTATATTTTTTAGTCTTTCTCTGCAGAAATCAATATTTTACATTTTGTTACAATTTATTATTTATAAGTTAAAAAGGAAAACAAATCATTAAGACACTCAAAAAGACTTGAAGTTTGACTCCTAGAACTAAGATGACAAATGATTTTGGAAAAAATTTATTTATTTATTAGAATCTCATTATTTATTTATTGAGTAATTAGTTAGATGCTGGGAAGTAAGATTATATTTTATATACATATATATTAAATGATAGTTTTGAATTATTTGAGAATTATTTTGAATATATTATATGAATTTGTTTTTTAAAAGTAATATATTCTGCGTAAAATAAATTTTCAGATTTTTGGATATTTTTAATTTGATTGGTTTTTAATTTTTTTATAATTGGGTTTGACTTTATTTAATGACATTTAACAGTTTGTTATTAGAACAAAAGTTTTATTTTCTGACACTAAGCCAAATGATTGCCATAATTAATCAGGCTATTAATGTGTTATAATTATTTTCTACAATTAATTTATAGTTAGGCTGCAATTTTCAAAAAGTTTTAGATCTATAAATTCCCACTGTTGTCCTCTCTGTCTGTCTGTCTTCCTTAATCTCAAGAACAGAGTTAGATAGATGAAAGTCAAGACCAGATATGGAAAGCTTAGGAGCAGGTTACCTCAATTAATTATATATGAATTTCCAGTTTGAACCAGAAGTCATGTCATTTTAGTTTAAAAATTTTCTCCTGAACAGAATTAGACGACTGACAAGACTATTGTTAACAAGAAAAGTATGATGTACAGGGGCAAGACATACTAAAATTGAGAGCATTGTGATAAAAAATTGCAGCTTGGCATTGTGACCATGTCACAATAAATAATAACTCATTATACAGTACAGTACATAGCTCATTATACAATCTCAATAATGCAACATATATGAGATTGTGTTGGATTAAGGAGATTTTTGGTTTATTGGAAGTAAGGTAGATTGGTAATTTAATCATTTGGAAAGAAAATATTTGTTTATTTGCATGATATTAATACATTGTAATAAAACAAATAGAATATCAAGAAAATATGAAAGAACAGCAATCATATGTTACTGTATTTTAGTGTTTTTAAACTATTCATCATGCCTTTCAAAATAATTTTCAATTGGCTTCTGTTGTTTTGTTTTCTGAATATGCTATTGTTGCCAGTAATCAGTTGCCAAGTTGATGGAATTCCCAGTAAATTTTGTGGAAAATTGAAACAACTGTAGGAAATTTAGTGGGAGGTACAGTATTTTTGGTGGGCAAGTGGACTGATTTTTATATTTCTACAGTATTGTGTTATTAGATACTGTATTTTTTTTGGAGCAACCTAAAATAATAAGCCTGACAGTCATTAATATCATATCCAATTAAAAAAATTCATGCTTAGACTCAATGCCATGCCACATTTAATGGAAAAGTAGTCAAATTTAGTGCGAATTTTTAAATTAGTTTAAATTAGCAGTTTAAATTAGTGGAAAGTGAAAAGCCAATAATACTTGTTGGCTAGTGTCAGATTACTAGATGTGTCAAATTAGCCAAATGGTAGATTACTGAGTTTGTACTGTAATTAAAATGACTTGATTTTTTCATAATTTATATGAAATTTGAATATAACAATACATTATAAAATAAAATCACTATTTTTCCAGCTGGATACAATAATTTAGATGTTGCTGAATTTCTTTTGGAACATGGAGCAGATGTTAATTCACAAGATAAAGGTGGCTTAATACCTTTGCATAATGCATCTTCATATGGAGTAAGTTACATTAGTTATTATTAAATTGTTATTTTATTTTTTAATTTATTTAATAAGATTCTTAACTTTTAAGTAATCGGAAATGATGTAAATAAATGTTAAATAAAATTAATTTTTGTTAATAGATTAATGATTATTGCAAGGAAATACAATCCGTTAACTAAAAAATTATTTATGGTTTATTTGCTGTAGTTTAAATTTTCAGTTATAGCACATGGTTTATTACAGAAAAGATGATGTTAAAAACAATTTACAATTATTAAAATTAAAATATGAAACATTGCAATTTATCTGTAATGTTATGTAAGCTATACATCATTACTCTTTGAATGTGTGTGTGAAGATTAACTATTTCAAACTTGTATGAAAATTTTAAGATAATTTCAAATAAATTATAACATATAAGTGTATATAATTGAATGAGTAAAAGAATTCTGATTAGTCTATTAAATTTCCTTTACAGATGCTAAATATTAGTTGATTATGGCATGTAGCATTAATTTAAAAAAAGTTTAGAATTTTCAGTTTCTTAGATAGTGATATATAAAATGATCTTTAGGATGCAATTGAAAAATTTTAAAATTAAAACATCTATTAGAAAGATTTAGTGTTTACATTATTTAATCAAACTTACGTAATTTTAATAATAATCTTTTTATAATAATTTGATACACTTTCAGGGGATAAAAATAGAATTCCTGTTATATATTTCTTATATATTATAACTATAGATTATAATAGCTAAATATAGCTACATTACAAATAATAAAGATAATATAGAATCATTAGTAAAAGTAATATATAGTACTGTTAGAATTACAGTGGTACCTCAGGATACGAAATTAATCTGTTCCGAAACTGAGATCGTATCATGAAAATGTCGTAAGGTGGATCATCTTTTCTCATACGATTACATGTAAAACCAAATAATTCGTTCCAACGCGAAAAACATACTCAAATTAAAGCCAAGTAATACATTAAAAAAAATAACTGTAGTAAGAAAAACAAATGAAAAATGCGAACTAATGTAACGTCGTATGGTGAGTTTTTGTTCATATCGTGGAGCAAAAATATGTTCGAATTTCATGTCGTATCCTGAAAATTTAGTATGCTGGGGCGTTCGTAACCTGAGGTACCACTGTATAAGGAATCTATAAAATAAAATTTAGTAAAAATGTCATAATTTAGTTTTTTTAGGAATAACTCAAAAAAAATCTATTGAAAGAATAAGTAAATCTGGAGAAAAAATAAATATATATAAAATATTTCTTTTAAAAAGTACCTCTTTCACCTTCTGTTTCATTATATATACAATTAATAATGTTTTAAATGAAATTTAACTACCAAAATTTAGAACTGTAAGAAAGGCAATGAATTTTAGTTTAATAAAATTTTTTATTTGTTATATATTTGTATTTTTATCAAATATGCATTATGCAAATGTTTCATCATAATCTTCAAAAATTATATTATTCATTGATTTGCAACAATTAAAGATTTTTTAAACAGATCTTTATGCAGTTTTTAAATGATATCTATCAAAAATAAGGATTCCTGTATGCTTAGCACTATCCAATTTTATAACTGAAGATATTAATGAATTTAATTCCTGAGGAGTTTGTTGAGTAACAATAGGAATATTAGAAATCAAATTTATAATAGAGTTTGAGATACTTTAGATTTAGATTTAAAAATAAAAGTCTTTAATTCTTTTATTATCCCTATTCTTCTATATAATGCTGAAAAATACAATGTTTAAAGAAATTAAGGATAAGATGACAAGATTTGAAAGTAAATGTCTTTTGATAGTTTTATATATAAATAGTATGTTTACATAATGGAAAAAGAAGGTAAAGAGAGTAGTATTCTGTTGCTAAGTGATAAGAAAATTAGAAGATAGAAATGTTATGATACAGAGCACAACTCTATACATCAAGATTCCAAGACTTCTAAAGCAATGGCTTAATTGGAGGCCAGAAGGAATAGGATAAACCTAAAGAAATTTGAAAAACTATTTTTAAAGATGTTTTATATTTTGTAGAATAAAAATTAGATAAAAACTGCTTTAAATGACAGAAGGTATTAGTGAAACATTGTTTTTGTCCTATGGATCTGATAAGACTGTGGATGGATGGATTGGAGATATTAAAATTTTTCTTCCTGTAGATCAGTGATGCCCTGTGAATCATTTAAACTGAGCCACAAATTTAGCAAACAACCTCTGCTCCTGTCCACTTCTTCTGTAAAAATTACTTTAGATGCATGCAAAAAAAATTGCTTATTCAGTAACCTAAGATAAGTTTGCATAAAAATATTCTTTTTTCTTCTAGCTTAATATCAATAGAATTGTATTTTACAAAGTGACTATTTCTATCTGAGAACCACCTGGCAAATGCTTGCAGACCACCATTGGTCAAAGGATCAATCATATGTTGAGAGCTACTGCTACAGATATTTACAAATAGAAAGATTGTCATTTTGTTGACGATTTTTAGATTTGTATGACAAAATTAGTGGTAGTATTATATTAATGTTTAATTTTTATTTCTTTGTTGTCTTTATGCATTAACAGTATGGTGAAACTTTGTTAATATGGACTGCATCAATCTGAATGTCATTAGATTAATGAGATCCATATTTGCTATCCAGATAAATTTTTTACAAAAAAATATTAAATTAATTTTTAAAAATTTTCATAGCTATTTAATAAAGTTCAGTTTAATGAACAATTTCTGGTAGTGATCTGTTTGGCTGACTTAGATCCAGTCTTACTTTTGTGTTCAATATTTATTTAGACATATTCTGAAAAGGTACAGTACATGTTATGCCTTAAATTATTAGTCATATTACATATTAAAGATGGTATGTGATATGATTAATAATTTTTGTTTGGCACAAGTTAACATCTCAATGAAAATTACCCAGAAGTTTGACAGATATAGTAATTTATTTTTCTTTCTTCATTTATAACAAATCTAATTGATTTATTTTACTTTAATTACTAAAAAAAATAATAAAATACAAAATATTTTGGCTATACAAAATTTAATATAATACAATAAACAAAAACTTTTTGATTAAGGTTACCAAAAATAGTTTAACACAAAATATTTCTAATCAATATATTTTCATTGTACAGGATGATGCCAAGTTTCATATATTTTCATTTAATATTCTATTTAGAAAAATAAAACTATTAAGTTTATATATTGCTTTATATAACCAAGTTTAATTTAGTGGAGTAAGTGAGTTTTAGAAAGACATTTCCTAAAACTAAATTTTAATAAAATATGTTTTTATTATTAGTCCATCTTAACTTTCGAATGATAGAGACATATTCAGTAAAAAATATTAATAATCTTATTTGTTGCAACAAAATATTTGAAAAATGATTTTGATTCATGAAAATACCCTCTTTGCAACAAATACTCATTAGATATTTTTCAAATTTGTTTTTTGTTTATTACTCTAAAATAGAAAAAAATGGAAGTAATATTTTTAAGTAAACTAATGATTTTATCTAAATTTTATTGTTTTGCTTGCCATACCTGTATATGTATAAAATAAATAAATTAATTAATTAATGTAATTAAATATTTTTGTAATTTCTATTTAACGGATTAACTTTAGAGAAATAGAGAATATTTCTGAATATTTATAATTTTTTTCTCAGAATCTCTTGGTAATATTTTACTATGTACTCCATTTAGTAGGCTAATATTTAATATACATATGCTATGATATCACTATACTAAGAATTTTTTATGCTTGATTCACTGTCTAGTATCAGAAAAAAAGCCATAGTGGAGAACAGGTTTATTAAACTGGGCAAGTTATTGTTATTACTTAGTAGAATTTTCATTAATTTTCAAAAGTTCATTAAGTTTAAAGTCATTAATTACAAACAAAATTTTAATATAATAATATATTGAACATTTTTGATAACTTGCTTTCATCAAAGACAGAATAATTGCACAGTCAATTACCATTTCATTAAACAGTTTATAAAAATTATAGCTTCTATGAGATAATAATTTACCAATTAATTATTTGCAGGTCTGTACTGAAGGAAATTTGCCAAAAATTATCAAAAATACATTTAATTTTATTTTTTGGTTTTATATTTGTCTAAAGTTAAATATTAAAATAATTTTCCCTTTCTCTACAATATGCCCAATTGGTTGATTAGATTATGAATGATATTTATATCAGAATAGAATAATGTATTATTATTTTTTATTATAGTAGAATTTTTTAAAAAATACAAAATTTATCTACATTATTATGATGTGTATGGTGTTTTAAATAATTAAATTTAAAAACTTTAAAAATTAAAATAAATTTAAACAGTAGTTCTATAATTCAGATTTATTTCTTATATTTTTATAAATACATATGTTTACAAGAATTAAAACACGTATTATAACAACATTTTTGCTAGTACAGTATCTTTTCTTCTCTTTAGGAGAATTATTTTCAGTTAAATGAAATTTTATTTAAATAAATTGAAAATTTTAAGAAATATATTTGAGATTATTATATATTCTAACAAAATAATTTTGTTTTATTGAAAAATAATAATAATGCTAGTAACACTGACTATAAGTACACTATATTGACTATGAATAAAACTGATTAGATGTGTTGATAACTTGTTATCCATTATTGTAAAATTCAGTTGCGACAGCATTGGATAATACAACAGATGTAATCTCTACTACAGATCTTTCTACTAATCATCATTATTGTCTGGAGTAGGGATTACTTGATCTCTCAGTTCAGTAGAACTGAAAACCATCTTTAAATTGCATAGAATATTGAATTAAAAAATGCTATTAGTGATGTAAGCAAAAAAGCTTTATTCTATTATACTGTTGCTCTTCAATTTCCATGCTACAGATAAAATATTAACATAAAAGATTGCAATAGTTTATCTCCAGTGTGGATACTTTTGTTAATAACAATAGTCCAGTTGCATAAGTTTTTTTTATGCTTACATTGTTAACTTAAATTTTATTTCTATCTTATAAATTTGAATTTAAACAAAGCTTTGTATTATTTTATTTAATGTATTCAGTACTCAATGTTCTGCACAGCTTAGTTTTATAAACAAAGCCAAAATTATTTATTTTAATTAAATATATGCTAGAATATCAATAGCTGTTAGTGTTTTTTTTTTCTTTTGTTTCTTTTATAGTTTATCTCTCCAATTGCAACATCATTTTGTATCTATTTATTACTATTTTAGATCTGTGTAATTGAGTTTTATTTGAATAAAAAATAATAACTGCATGACTTAAAATTTGATCAAAGTATAAAATATGGTTACATTGATATGTAGCAATCTCATTTTTATATTATAAATGAAAATATTTACCAGATTAATTGTTTTTAATATTTAATGAAATACTGTAGTTTTCATTTTTAATGTCTCACTTTAGACATTAAATTATTATTTCAGATTTATAAAATGTTCTTTATTTTTATATTATTTTATTTTTTAATTAGTTTTATTTATGTTTTGAATAAAATTTAGAATTTTTTTTGTAATTAAAATAATTCAAGTATGTTTTTATATCATTGATTTAAAAATTTGAATTTTTACGATAATCATATTTAAAATCTTCTGTTTTAAATTTTTTTTTAAATATTCTTTTTTAATCTCTGTTTATTGTATAATATAATTTGCAAGATTGTAATCAACTTGAGAATTTACTTTTTTTTGAAAAGGAGCAATTAATTATTATTAAAATAACATATTACAGCAATAAAAATATTTACAGTTGTAAAGAATCTCTTAAATCTTTTGAGTGTAAAAAGAATGGAAAATTAAGTATTATGTATTATTTAATAATGTGTATATTTGATTTCTGTTATATAATTTAATTATTTACAATTATTTACAGATATGTAATTTAAATAAAATAAGATACAATTAAATGTTTAATTAATGTAACGATATTCATACTTTATGCATGCAGAAACAGGACAAAATGCAACAGAGATTTTTAAAATGCAACTTTAAAAATATTTTTTCTGTTATGTCCCATTTTTGCATTTTAAAATTTATTTACTTTTTATTATTATTTATACTCTTTTCAATTGTTTAATATGTATAAAATTGCAATTAAGAAAATCTGTTAATTATAATTACTGTATGTTCATATATTTACATACTTGAAAAGTTCATTACTGTTCAATATTTTAATACTAACATGATTTAATTAATTAAATTTTGAAAAATGATCTAAATTTTATTATTTTTGTAATTAATTCTATATACATTTTTAATTATAGAATTTTAAATTTATTGATTAGATTTACATTAATATAATTTGAAGATTAAAATATTTATTAATTGATTTAAAATTATAATAAAAATTATTGTCATTATTTAAATTAATATATATATAAGAAAATATGCAAATTAATCATGCATGGGTAACCACATGAAAAATTTATGATCTTGCAGTTTGACTAAACCTTGAGATATTTTTTTTTCCCCTAATATTTTAGTTTAGAGGAAATAGCTTGGGGGTTTTTAACTGTTGTTCAGGAAATCATTTATCAAGCACTGGCAGTTTCATTTAGATGGTGTAATGGAGTGCCAGGAGGAAAGAGTTTAGACATCATTTTATCATTAGAGAAATTACTACACCGATACTGCAAGTTAACTTTTTCTTCGTCGTAGCAAGAGGATAGTTAACATTGAATATTAATTTATTAATTGTTGTCTCTTCTCTCTTCTCTTTTGATCAATATGAAAGCTTATAATTGGAAGAGAAACAATTTTCAAAAATGTAATTAAACTACTTTACTAAATACAATGTTAAATAAAACATCTACAAATTTATTTAAGCTTTGCAAAGTCTTTTTAAGATAAAATTATGTAGATGATAATACAACTAATTTTAATATCATGTTATAAAAATGTTGAAATGATGTATCAATAAATAAAATTTGAATTTATTATATCATATTATACATATTATAACTCTCATAAATTTTAAATATTTTAAATTTCTATTCAACACAAAATATTTATTAACAAATAATAATTTAAATTTTATTTACAGCATTTGGATATTGCTGCCCTTTTGATTAAATATAATACGGTCGTAAATGCCACCGATCGCTGGGGGTTTACCCCTCTTCACGAAGCAGCTCAGAAAGGAAGGACACAGCTGTGTGCATTACTAGTGAGTATTATGTCATACAAGAAAAGAGTATAGCCTTGGGAGATGAGGGAAGTTTGCAATCGCTTGTCATAAATACTGTATCATCAAACAAATGTTTCTGCTGAGTAAAGAAATCAATCTCTTTATATGCATCCATTTGTTTCTTTCTGCTTTTCATCTTATCATTGCATATATCTTCAGAATGTAATTTTTTTTTCCAGTTCTCTTAGACTTCAGTACAATAGCTTGATCAGATAACAGGCAGAAGTGATTACTAATGTCAATGTAATGGTTTGCATTTGTGATATGATGTTGAATGTCTGTATTTGACAGATATAGAATTTTCTGAAATTGATAGGGAATTCATATGTGAATGTTACATTTTTTCTAATGTATTTTCTTTTGGTCTTTTTATTCTTGCATTTTGGTTTTCAATTTTCTGAATGTTACTATGTTGTTGGTATTTCATCCTATTCTAATTTATATATTTTTTTTATTTTTTTGTCAGTACTTATGAATGCTTTTATACAATAGAATTTATAAATTAATATGCAGTTTTATTCACAATTTTTAAATTTTGTGTGAAAAATGAATATATATATCAAATTATTCAATTGAATAATTTATCTAAGTATTAAAATATCAATACTTTGATTTTACCTATTATGTAATTAAATAGTAATAAGCAATTTTAAAAATTCTTAGTGTTAAAAAGAAGCAAAATATCTTAATTATAGCTATGAATTAGAAGAATAACTAGTATAGTTGTAACCTGTCATAGATTTAAATATTTTTTTAATGTTTTTGTATATTTTTTAATAGTGTTTTTTTCTTAATTTCTTTTCTTGTCATAATTATTAACTTTGATCTGACCTTAACACCCCACTCCCACCCATTCACACCTTTGCATTCCTGATAGGTTCATTCACATTTATAATCTATTCAAATTTATTGATATAAATTTGAATAGATCAGGTGTTCCTCTTGAAACATTTTGTTATAGAAGTTGTATTCTATAGCAGACCTCAGGAGGAGGTTGAAAATGTTCATATTTTGTTAAAATGTTATTTTACTGGAAGGACTTAGGTTTCTGTATTATATTTAGTATCATAATTATTTGGTTATTATAAATTTGATGATTCATTTTTATTTTTAAAATTGTATTTACCTCTTCTGCTTTTGGTATAAAAAATTTTTGATATCATTATTAATGAAGTTATATTCATGCTTGGCAAGAAAATATGATAAGAATTTTATTAATGAAAGTAAAGTCTAAAATGATGAATGCTTTAAAATTAAATAATTGAACAGATTAAACAATTACTTTGACAATAGTTATGTATTAAAAAAAATATTCAGTAAAATGTTGTTGGGTCTTAAAATAGTTGTGGTTCTTAATTATTTTTGGCTAAACACATTTTATCACAGGAAATTTTGCTCAAATACTATAGTTAAATCTTATAAAATAAAATTTTATATTAAGAATTTTAGATTGCAGGAAATAATCTATCATTGCAAGTTAAAAAACAAATATGTCACTAAACTTAATCCTAAAACTACTGGATTATTTTTCAGACTGTAGTAAGGCTAATTTTTAATTGATTGATTAACAGAATTTGACCTAAAAATAACATTTAGTGACTGTCTTGTTGGGCTGCAATTTTCAAATTGCAGACTTATACATTCTCCACTGTCATTCATCTGTCTGTGTGTTCATTTATCTATAGAATGGAGTTAGAAGGATGAAAATCAAGACCAAATATGGAAAGCCTAGGGTCTGCAGACCCCAATTAATTATATTCAAACTGTTAGTCTGGACCAGAAGTAATGTAATTTTTTTTAAATTAAATATTAAAAATTTCAGTTTGGCATTATGATAATGTCATTTGTAGATTAATAATTAGAAAATAATTAAGCAATTTAGAAAATTTTGAGAGAAAAGATTAGTCCGGAGTAATTCTTGAACCTGCAGTTCCTATATACTGGGCAGACATGTTAATCAGGTTAACACAACTAAGATCTTTATCTTCTCTTTGCTTCTAGACCTATATTACACTTTAGATCAAACATGTATTTCTATTGTGCCACCTGTGGATATTCAATGTTTACAAGCCTATAATGGTTCTTAACTATTGAAATAAGAAATTAATTAAATAATTTTTAAAATAAATTCTTATTAATTAATTTTTATTCAAGATAGTGATATAACAGCCTATCTTTAGATCAAATTATGCTAATTAATTGAAGAATGTATTTAATGCATCCAAAAATAATCTGACAGTTTTAGGTTTGTTGATTTGAAGTTTAATTGTATTATATGTAATTTTGAAGTTATGTTCTACAATCAAAAATTTATAAATTTTCCTCATAATTTAACTATTAATATCAATTATGATAACAAATCAATGAAGTCATAAAAATATATCTGTACTTCATTTTGAAGGAAAAATATATAGTTATTATAAGATTATTTTCTTAATAACTTTACATAACAGTCATGTTTAATGTTAAATTTTTAAATATTTAATGAAGTAAGAGAAAGATAAATTTATTTTTTAAAATTACACTCCATAAATGCTTGAGTTTATGGTAAAATTTCAAATAAAATTAATGTATACATACTTATAATTCACTTTTAGATTAATTGAAAACTGATTTATAAAACTGATTCATTTACTATGATAATACATTTAATGAAGTCTGTTAAGTCATTATAACAAACCTTCAGAAAATTATTAAAATGCATATATAAATGAAAAGCTTGCAGATGATCACAGGACCTTTTTAATATTTGTGTGTCTAATATTTAGGCAGTCAATTAAATTTACAAAATAAAGTGTTTCTTGCAATAATATAACAATAAATGTTGACTAGATATATATATATATATATATATCTGGTCAACATTTATTGTTATAATACCAGATATATATATATATATGGTTAATATTCATTTGACATATACATATCAGTCTTTTTTTTTTCTGTATTATTGACAAATATTTTCCAGTTATCAAAATTCAGTTTTATGTTTTTATTCTTACTGTGTAGAATTGTAAACTGTATTGTATTAATATAAATGGCAAGGAAAGAAGTCAGATAATTTATACCTTCATTGTAAACATTTAGCATCAGCATTAAAATGAAGATAAGCAGATCAAAATTTTGTGAATTTTATCTGTTTCCTTCACCTCCAAAATAATTGATTATTATTAAATTCATAGAATAATAATTTTATATTAGTGTCTGAACTTAGAAATTTAATTTTTGAAATGAATAATGACCATATTGATGTTTCTAATTTCATAAATAAAGACATTGTATTTATAAATAAATAAATGATTATATTGCAAAATATTATAAAGCCATAAAACTAAAAGATATATTGGTTAGTATTAGGTATATCTGAATAATAATTGATTTTTATATTTAATTTTAAATAAATAATTTGTAAATAAATATGGTTAAGTTTGTGTTTGTAATGATAAATATTTAGTAAATAAAGTTAAAAATTAATTTTCAATTATGTAATTGTATAAAGTTAATAATTTAATTATTTTTAGAAATCTATAATAATTATTGCTTAGTATATATTTTTTAAAAATAAATTACAATATTTTTTGAATTGTTATTTATAACTTTATAATTTTTATTAGCTTGCTCATGGTGCAGATCCTACAATGAAAAATCACGAAGGACAAACACCTTTGGATTTAGCATCTGTATGTTGTTTTCAACTATTATTATTATATTTAAATTATATATATTCTAAGTTAACTAATTTCTTTAAATAGGCAGAAGATGTTAGATGTTTATTATCAGATGCAATGCCACCACAAACATTTCCGCCTACAGCCAAAAGTAATTCTTTGTCCGGAAATATTTCGCCTATTCCACCCACAAAGTATGATTTTAAATATTTTTTTTTCAAACTATTATACTATTTTTTTAATTTCATTTAAATGGTATATAAAACACTATTTAATATTTTGGTAAAGTTAAATATACAATTATTATGTTATGTTTATATTTAAAAATTTTTGAGTAAATGAACATTTATGTATTTGTACAAGAAAAATAAAAGAGAATAAATTATTTTTCTTGTCTATAGAATGTTTAACATTAGTAAAATATATGAAGTATTTTATCAAGCATGCATTATATTTGATTATAAAATTTTTAAACAAAACTTGTTTGTTTTGAATAAAAACTTTTAAATCAGAGAATTAAATATTAACCTATTATATGTTGAAATTTTTCTCTGGTGCATGTCACTTCACGTTGAATTTTTGTTAATGTTAAGCCAACAAAAATTACATGTTTTAGAAAAAAATAATTGTGGCTATTGTATTGTCCAAAATTATATTTTTATTTCACACAAACAAGATAGACATATTTAAAAATGTAAGAACAAAAATAATTATATTTTGGAAGTTAGTTTTAATATAAAAATTATAACAACTAGTAGCATTTAGTGTCAAAAACGTTCCAATGCAGAAACAAGATAAGTTGGGTTCATCAGTCAAGGTCATTATGTTTCGACTCAAGATATTTCGGAAAGACCACTGGTCGGGTTAGTGTTTATAGTTATTAAAATTTTTTTTTATTTTAAAATCTGCTGAGTTGATGCATTTTTGTGAAAATATCTTGTAGCAGCATTAAGTGGCCCAAAAAGTAATAAGTTACCCAAATGTAGTACAAATATCTTAATCTGCTAGCCCAATTTTGCATTCCTGAAATCCAGACATATTTTATTAACCAGCCATATTTTTCTTTATGAGATAAGAGAAAAAAAAGGGTACTCCATGGGTAAATTGATACCTGAAAATGTGTTACTGTAAAAGCAAAGCCATATTTACCAGATTAAAGTTGTTCTTGGTATATTGTTCCCATATAGCATGGAACATATGCATATCACAGTTTGGAGAGAATTTTGACTTTGAATTTCAAAGTAGCCATATTTCAAACTAACTGAATTCTGTAACATGTAAATCTGTATATCACCAGTCAGGACAAAAGTACAAACTAATGGGATTTCAAACTATATGAGTTTGAATTAACAAGGATTTCTTGTATTACAAACTTATGAAACATTAACATTAAAATCATTGCATTTTTTTAAATTAAAAAAAATAATAAACTTACTATAATTATGTGACTGCCCATTAAAATGCGAATGTGAATGGCTGGAATGATCGTGTGAGTCATGCAAATGTCCATGACCTAAATAAGTATATAATTTGCAATTGAAAATTTACAGGATATATATTGGACAGTTTTTTATATCCTTAATTTAAATTTATCTTAAAAAAAACTAAGTTAACCAAGTTCTGAAATATATGCTAAATATAAGCTATAAACATAATAATTTTATTTTAATTCCTTTTTTTATTTATAAATTAAATTTTTTTTATTGTTGTATCTTAACTTTTTAACTGACATCCTTATATTTTTGGGTAAACTTTTCAGGAGAATAAGTCAAAATGCTTAAAATTGAACACGTACAATATGAAAATTTACATTTAAACATTCCAATTTGAACATAAATAAGATGTAGGCACACGAACATATATTTGTAAGTAAACATTCCAAAGCAATTTCTTAGGTTATGTGACAAGAAGACAACCATAATAAATTCCAACATAAATATTTAATGAAACTGACAAATATTTTTGGCCTCATTAAACTTGCAATGGTGTCTAACCTGCAGAAAATTGCTAGAATAAAATAAAAACTTTGCTTAACTTGCCTTACCATAAATCCTGTGCCTCTAAAGCAGTGATTGCTTCATAGGTGCACATTCATAATCAAAATTTAAAATTGGCATATAACTCAAACTATTACATAATCTGCGCTACCTTTTAAATACAGATGATATGTGCACAATTGAAAATGTTATACACATGAAAATATGGTAATTGATTTTTTAATGTGAAATTCATATGTTTAATTTTAAATAATGAAATAGTCAAAAATAAATGTTTGCTAATTTTATCATCATTTTTTTAATATCTGTTTTGACATCATTAAATTGATGTTGAATTTCTCTATATTTTTATCATTGTCATGCATTAAATTTTAGCTTCATATATGAAGCATTTAATTATTGAAGATACTTTTGTGTAAATGAAAATAGTAATATAATTTCTAAAAAACTTATTAAAACAATTTAAGTAGTTATTTTTGAATATTTTGTTTTGTTTTTAGACAATGAAGCAGATAATAATAAACAATATTCTTATTGAAAAGAGAACAACTAATTAAGTAGTTTTTTTAAATTTAAAAAAGTAGTAATAAATAATCTCATAGCTGTGAATGCCATAAAAAAATTTAATTTGGTGTTGAACATTTATCTAAATAAAGTAGGATTTTATTAAAAATTATAATGTCAAATATAGCTGTAATAACCTAATGTGTATTAAACAATTGAATGGTGAATTAATTAAAATACAGTAAACTCTGCTTATTGTAATCACAAATATTACCAGTAATTTCATATTATCAGAATTAGAAAGTCCCAAAACTTAAAAGTAAAAATACATTCACTAAACTTTGACTACAATAAGCAGTTATATCACCACGTATGATTTTAAATATTATTTTTTTTCAAACTATTATACTATTTTTTTTAATTTCATTTAAATGGTATATAAAAACACTATTTAATATTTTGGTAAAGTTAAATATACAATTATTATGTTATGTGTATATTCAAAAATTTTTGAGTAAATGCATAACATTTATGTATTTGTACAAGAAAAATAAAAGAGAATAAATTATTTTTCTTGTCTATAGAATGTTTAACATTAGTAAAATATATGAAGTATTTCATCGAGCATGCATTAGTTATATCACCACCTTCAGATAAATAAGCATTTTTAAAATGTTTTTATACTATCAGTCTCAACATATAGCTGATAATGTACAATTGTTATCAGCTGTTGTGATGTTTTACCATTGTTTTTAATGCTATGTGTTAATTACTTAATTTTAAGTTGTTTGCATATAGTTTAAATTGCTGAAATTTCTTACTTCAGTTATATGCTAGATGAATTATTATTAATTAATTAATAATAATAATAATAATAAAATGAATAAATTTTTGTTATACAATTCTTAATTGTTTTAATTTGTCCTTCTAATGTTATACTCAATAAAACCAGAATTTTTACTAATTCTAACTTTAATTACTTACTCACCTAATACTATTGGTTAGATATTGTTATCATATAAACAAGTTTCAAAGTGATTACAATAAGCAGATACTGTTGTATTATATATACAACAGAATCTGCTTATTGTAATCACTATGCTATTTCAATTCTATAAAATTCTTTTATAACTTAGTTTTGTGTTTGTTTGCTATAAAAATGAAATTATGATTCTAAAATATTCTATATGAAAAAATAATTTGATTCAAATTATAGTTGTAATATTAATTAGTAAATTTCACGTAAGTGTAAAATTACTTTCTTAATCAAATTATTACTGATTAAAAATTAAAACTTGAAGATACAAAATGACAGACTTATGAAGACATTTTCTATTCAATATATTTTTGACATTTCAAATTATTACTTTACACATAAATTTTAATATTTTAATGGTTAGCTTATACACTGAATATTACAGTATTATACTTATTATTTATTAAAAGTATAATACTTTTGATAAATATTATAACAGAATCACAAAGTTAATTGTAATTTTGACAGCTAGGCAGTTTTATATGTTGTGTTTCATAAAATATTGAAAATACTTTCTATTGGAAAAGAGCCATTTTAATAGAGAATTTTAAAATTGTTTTATTGTTAACTTTATATAATAATATGTTGTTAATTAAATTTAAACTGTCTGTATCATTTGTATAATAACAATCGTCAAAATATAATTATGTTTAAATTGAACAGATTAATTTATCGATTCAATTTATTTCATCATATGTTAAAAGGATGAAATGATTTTGTAGTTTAGTTAATGTAATTTATTAATGGTTACATTAATGCATTAATGCTTTATTGCTAAATTTATAGTAAGTCATGCTTACACTAGCTAGTAATAAAAATTTGATGCAATATAGTAGAAACCTATTTTATGGTCACTTGTTTTACAACCTCCTGTTTTTATGACTGGTATAAATTTTCTGTTATGATTATATGAAATACCATATTTATCATATTTTTTTCCTGTTAACTGTTCATAGTTCAAAATTCATTTTCAGAATAGAATTTCAATTTATAATATTGATCCTACAAGAAATTAGAATGATTTACATTTTACCTAATTAAGAATAATTTTTCAGGGACAAATTATATGTATATTGTAGAAATGGCTACTGCATAGAAATAAGTTATAATAATAATTATTATTTTTTTAAATTAAATATTAAAAATTTCAGTTTGNTTAGTTTCTCAAATTGTCAAATTTCACAAATGAATAAAATGGCATAAATTCAGAAATTATTACTTGTATTAGCTAGAAATACTGGGTAAGTAAAAGAATAAGTTTAAAAACAACTAGTATAAAAATTTCTTGGGAGATGTTGGCTACTTACGGTACTTATTATCTATCTACAGTAAAATAAAATTGGTAATAGTAAATAGCTAGATAATATAAATATTATCTAGCTACTTACTATCACCAATTTTATTTTCATTGTCATTTTAAGTTTGGAAATTTAGATATCTAAATCTGATAGACAATGTGGTCAATAATATCATAATATAATACAAGAAAAAAGTCTATTATGTAATGTCTATTAAGTGAAAAAAGTCTATTAAGTGAATGAGTCTATTATGGTATCAAGATATAATTTCTTCCCCTTCATCTATTTATTACCTATATATATATATATATATATATATATAGGTAATAAATAGATGAAGGGGAAGAAATTATATCTTG